TAGCTCACAAATCAAATATTAGACCTAACCTTCTGGGGATTCTCCAATTACCTCAAGGGAAGTCAGCACAAAATGCCTTAAAAATAAAAACAAAAGTGTTAACTCACTGTACTCTGAAGAGCTACTGGAGGCAGAAATGGCTTAGTGGTTAAGAACATTTCTGCTGTCCTTACAGAGGACCTACATTCAGTTCCCAATAATCCATCAGGACTAAGAAGCATTCATGGAAACACACGATGCACATACATACATCCAGGCAAAATCATAAATTTTTCTTTTTTAAGAAAGAGATATTTAACCCATAAAGAAGTACTCAAAAGAAATGAAGCTGAATTCAAAGGCAACCCATACCCAAGTGTTCATCTAAACTATTCAGGATCGGGAACACCCCTACACTGTTACCTAAAAATAAACCAAAGATTAAGGCAGTAATGTAATCACTGTAACAAAAATTTCAAACTTACATCTATAATGTCATTTAAAAAAATTAAATGTGAATACCAACTTCTCATGAAAAGTCAAATACCTTCCTATAAAAATGTGAGAGGGCTAGGTAGATAAAGGCACTTGTCACCAAATCTGACACCTATGTTTTAAAACCTGAAATCTACATGGTGAAAGGACAGAACTGACTTCCTCCAAGTTGTCCTCCAGCACACCCACACCCACAGTGTAAAATATAGAATATTACACTTATTATTTATCTTTTAGGTAGATCTTTTCAGCCTGTGCACTGCAATTGAGAAGTGCCTAATACTTGGTGGTCCTATCTTCAACATAAGACCTTTCAGCAGTTGGGATCTCATTTCATAAGCAGCTTTTAACTGAAACAGAATACAAACATTGGCAGGGAAAACAAAGGGCATTTCCAGAGCTGCAACATGGGGAGCAAAGGAGGTGGAGTTAGAAGCATCCAGGGGTTTAATGAACATTGAAAGGGTACAATCAATACTTCTCGGTTGTAAACCCAACATATAAAAGCCCAAATTATCTGTGTAACTGCCTCACCCTATTTTCTATGTACAACCCCACTTCTACTCCTTTGTCCCAGGAGCTTTGGGTCAAATTTTACCCAGCATCAGTTCAGTTTAGATTAGAAAAAGCAGATTTACAGACAAGATTAGCACAGCTCTTCCAAAGCAGAAAAAAAAAACTGTTACTTGATCCTGATTCTTTTATTGTTTCCATTACTAGCTACTGAAGCTAGGAGTCTAAACATTAGTATCTGGGTTGGTTAGACAGTCCTGCCCAAATTTAACTAGAATTACAAATTCACTAATGAATTTGTCCCTTAAATGAATGTAATTTTAGGTCAATTATCTCAGGGACCTCATATAAGTGACTGAAGTGTACACACACTGCATTCAGCAATACAACAGACTCTACAAAGAAAGAACTTCCGCATAGACACTCCAGACTCACCCACTGCTTTCTACTTCTCTCATCTGCCAATACTGAACTCAGACTTGACTTCCTGGCTGCTAAAGGATGTTAGAGAGGTTGAAGCCAGGTAACATTTTGAAGTTCCTATCTTTATTAAAACATTTTCCAGGCAATGGGTAAAGAATCGACCTTGTTTGTATTAGAGCTTGTGCTCCCACATAAAAAGCCACTTGCCAAAGGCTTTAAATGTACACATTCCTCCTTTAAAGCCTTTTTAAAGCTTTAAGGGAAAGATACAGAACTTCATGTTCCCTCTATACCCTCCTAACCTCTAACATTCTAAGTCTGGGTCAGAGTCTTTTTGTACCCTAAGAGATGATCCTTCATGATTTTACAATTTCACACACACAGGCAAACACACACAAACAAAAAACCCTACCACCACCAACAGAAAAACAAAACAGCCCAACCCAATCCTGGCTTTATTATTCAGGAGGAGGCTCCTATAGATGAGTTGGGAGTTCAGGGGCAGCCTAAGGTCATATAAGGAAATCCTGCAGAAAGGGGACAGAGAAAGGGAGGAAAGAAAGAGGGGAAGAGAATAGGGAAGGAGAGGGAGGGGGAAGGGAAAGGGTCATAACAATCTTTTTTTTCTTTTTTTTTAAACCTGTAAGCTAATACTGTTCATTTTTTGTTTTGTTTTGTTTTTTTAATGTGCATTTAGGTGTCTGGCCTACACACATATCTGTGTTAGGGTGTCAGGACCTCTGGAACTGAAGTTACAGACCGTTGTGAGCTGCCATGTGGGTGCTGGGAGTTGAACCTGGGTCCTCTGGAAGAGCAGCCAGTGCTCTCAACCTCTGAGCCATCTCTCCAGCCCCTTGGGTCATAACAATTTTAATAGTCTTATTAACTATTCTTAGAAATCTAAGAGACATCACTAGAGAAGTTAAGACAGAAAAGGTGAGTGGGACACAGTGGCACATGCCTGTGATCTCAGCATTCTGGGAGGCAGAGGCAGGTGGACCTCTGTGAGTTTGAGGCCAGCCTGGTCTACAAAGTGGGTCCAGGATAGCCAAGGCTCCACAGAGAAACCCTGTCTTGGAAAAAAAAAAAAAGTGAAATTAAGCACCATCCTACTTTTATCAGTCCTAAAACAATTATATAAAATTTCAGGGCTTGAAAGATGGCTCAACAGAGCCTGAACCCTACCCTAGGATCCTGCGCTGAAAGGACAGAACTGACTCCTGCAAGTTGTTTTCGGATCTCCCCACACATGCATGCTCTGACATGCACACAACTTCCAACATACAATTATTAAAAATATAATAAAAAATTAAAAACCAATTATATTTCAAATCTGCCTTACCTGAGGAAAAATTACTGAAATTTTATCTATGGTAGAAATGAAAGTCTTTTGTACAGAAGGTTGGAAGGGTCAGCCCCATAGTGGGAGGAGCCTTTCTCCAGACCTCAGGCTCTTGGGACCAACAGCTCTGACACTTGACTGAACAGTAGTAGACACAGTACACTCCTTCCAAGCACTAATGCTCAGAAGACCTATACGGACTTCTACTGCAACAGGAGATTCCTATCACTATAGATATCTGTAAAAATAGCACCAGGTCAGAGACCACCCTTTTCTCTACATCATCCTTCACCAATAACCTTTTCATCCTTGACATTCCAAGGCACTCAACAGATAATAGGTTGGGATAAATCAACAAAAAGACACAGGATCCGATTCCATCACTTAATAGCTTGATATACGAGCCTCAACTGCAAAACAGGGAACTCTGTATTATAGGGCTATCTATAGACTGACTCCAAACAAGTCCTCAGGTTGAATCCAACATTAAAGATGTTGTATTTGGCCCAAACAGTATAACTTTTTATTGCTGCACTTAAAAGTCAGGGCGTCATCAAAATGGCGGGGGGGCGTGTCAAAGGTCCATCAACTCTGGGGGCAGTTTTGTTTCTCAATAGTCACTAACAACTGCTTCCTTTAGAGAGGCATATACATATACAGTTTGGGTCAATGGGGACTATTTGTCTCTCCTCTTCAACTCATTTACTTTACCTTGGTTTAATTTGTGTTTATAACCCAACTTAAGGATTTTAAAGACGAGTCAGTTGTGCCTAATGCAAATACTTATTGAGGCAGCCATTATCAACAGCTCCTTGTTAACAAGTTTGGTGTGCTTAAAAACGTACAACTTCATCTTTCTCCTCCACTTTCTGCTTCAGGAACACTTAAGTGTGCCATAGCAGTGTAACTGTACTGAAAGGACCCCAGAACCATTCCTAACTGCAAATGCCCCCATGATCATTAACTGCATGTGTCAGCTCTCTAACTCCTGTCGGCTACACAGGCTGACACAGCTTCTCTTCCACACTGGGGGGCCTCTGCCAGGGAAGTTGTCCGTAAAACAATCATTGGGAGAAGACCAAGTGCTTTTATGCTACAAGGCTGACTTGCCCCTACAATTGTCAACTTTCTATAAACAGAGCATGCAGTGCCAAATGACTCAACTTTAGATAACTGTGAGAATTGGGGGGTGGGGATGGTAAACGCTACAGAAAATGCCCTGTGAGTTCCAGGCACGCTCTTAAGAGGAATGATCAGTGATGAATCCTGAACAACACTGTCTTCAGGAGCGCCTGACGGGCTGGAGCCCCAGTGCGCATGAGAAGTCAGCGGTCCATCCTTTCCTACACACCGGAAAACAATCACCAGCTGTATTTCTGAGATTTTGTTTTGCCTGCGCTATTTCTTTCTTTCTTTTTCCTTTTTAAACACAGCGTGTAATACTGAGTTCAACACACTCAAACAGAACTGGAGCGTGTGGAAGTGCAAACTCTCTTCAGCAAAGCCTCGCTGGTACGTGTGGACCGAATCACCTAAGAGGTGGCCAGGAGAAAGCTGGTCCATGTGTGCCTTTCCAGAGCACTCAACTCGATCCACCTGCCTTGGCCCCAGCCAATGACGCAGACCAGCAGTTTACCCAGGTGCCAGAAGAGAGAGTGGGGAGGCAGCACGGTAGCCAGGGAGACCAAAGGAAGCAGTTGCCAGAGAAATGCGTTCAGCAGAGCCGGCCTGGAGGACGCGGTGGGGGATGGGGAGGCCTGAGGCGGACGGCCCCGGGCTATTCCGGGTGTCTGGGCGCTTGGACTTTTTCCACTCGCTGAATTCTGTGCGAGGGCAGGTTACCGTGGGGGGTACCGCCCGCAAGGCGCAAGGGGCCGCTCCGCGGAGCCCGGGCGCTCCACGCTCTCTGGTGTCGAGGGCCACCTGCACAGACCGGGGCCTTGCACGGCCCCGAACGCCAGGCTCGACACCGGGAGCTCCCGGGACCGCAGAGCAACCCCACGCGGCTGGAAAGGGCCCGAGCAACAGGCCGGACAGGCAAGGGCACGCGCTCCAGGCCCGGGGCCCCTCGCCTCAGGGAAGCTGGAGCAGGCACGGGCCTCCCCCCCGGGTGGCGTCTAGGCCCCAGGGAGGCGACCTGTCAGCCCTCCCCGCCCGGGCACGGCTCCCCGCCCCCCGAAGGCTGAGGCCGGGGCCGGGGGCCGCGCGAACCCCTCTGCACCCCGACACGCCCCCCAAGTCTGGGCACCTGGCCTTGCCGGCTGCGAAAAGCGGAGACACGCCCGAGGGGCCACATGAGCGCCTCCCGCCAGGCCGCGGAGTGAGGAGAGCGGACGCCGCCCGAGGCCCGGCGGGCTCCACGCCTGCGCCCCCTCGCGGGCTGCTCGGCTCCTCCTCCGGGCCCGCGCCCCCGGCCCCCGCGAGGCTCCCGGGCCGAGCCCTCGAAGCCCGCTCCCAGGCGGGCACGCGCGACCTCTCCCGGCCCGCTCCGGCCTCGGGGCGCGGGCTCCAGATGCACTGGAACGTGTGAAGCCACGTGACTTCCCCAGGCCGGGAGAGCGCGCGGCCCGCACGACGGGCCCGACTCCTCGGCTTTAAAGGGGCCATGTCGGCGGCGCCGTCGTGGCGCGCGGCCCCGAGCGCGGCCCCAGCCCGAGCGCCCGCCCCCG